ACACTGAGAGGTTATTTCTGTCTATATTACATTTTCACTGAAAGAACACCGTATACAAGTCAATATTTATTTCCTTCATACATACACTGAGAGGTTATTTTCTGTCTATATTACATTTTCACTGAAAGAACGCCAAATAGTTTGGTGTACTCAATTGGAGGTAGAGAAATTTTAGTCAGAAAGAAACTTTTTTCGTTAAAAAGTCATAATATCTTTTAACACTCCTAATTTAGTCACCTTTTGTGATCCAAACACACCCATGAAATTCGCATGCAACTAATAGCTTTTTTTTAATCGAACTTTTTAAAAGACATGGATTTAGTTAAGCAATATTTACAAATTACATTCAAATTTCTTTGTAAATTACAAATTTCAAGTCATCGCTTTTCAAAAAAAACTTTAAAAACAACATTAAGGCTATAAAATATGCTAACCTGGTATAATTTAATCGAACAGTGTAATTGGATATCATCTTCCGCATTCCAACTAGTTCAAGAACCTAGATTAATGAACTCCGACATATTCGGTCAAGAATGACTTCAATCGTTATTGGTATTGATTATTTAGATTATTATGAACGCATGAAGTCGATGTTGGCGGTTTGTTTGTAGTTAAGCCCATCACAGTTATCGAAACCCGGATTTTAGCGTTATAAGCCTTCAGACTTTCCGTTGTGCCACTGGAGGACCGGTGTTGGCGAACACCGAAAACAGAAGCTGTCGTTAATATTGTTATAGTAAGTTTTTAATGCACTATGACTCGACTTTTTTACTGTTACCCAACTACAAAAACAGGTATTTAGTCTAACAAAACTTCAACGTCCACACGTTTGTAAACAAAATGTTACCAGATTATAATATAAACTCAAAGCTCTAAAACTCCCAGAAATAATAATAATGTGACACTTTGGGCACATGAACACCTGAACTTCTTTACCACTTAATTATTGATAAAAGTTAATAATAATGTGACACTTTGGGCACATGAACACCTGAACTTCTTTACCACTTAATTATTGATAAAAGTTTAATGCCGAAACCAGTTGTGACAATTGTTTTTCTTAGATTTTATACTGCATTTCCTCTGTAATCTATCAATGCTATGATTATTCTCAAAAGTGTCCTAAAATGTTTGGTTAATAGATTTAAATTAGGCTTACCAAAACAATGTAATATAAACTAGCACATATTGTGTACTTCATTGATAACTTATGGAAGTAACAGTAAAATATCTAAACTATATCATACTACAAATCCATTAGTTTATTTAGTTATTATCAGCATTAGAAATTAATCAGTGACTCTTTTCCTACAAACTTATTATTAACTCTTTTCAGATGTTTGTATAAAATTCTATAATATGAACATTATTTGCACCATATCGCAGCCGACCTGATAAGCCCTGGTAATGGACGAAAGGCCTCTTCGTCACAATACTTATATTCTTCTTTACTTTCAATCATAAGTTCATATACTTTTTCATATAACATTACAACTAATTGATAAATAATATGAGAAAATCAGGTGAAATATAGATAATGGCAAGAAAATGGTTTCGGGATGAAATTAAAAAAAAAAAAGCTGTCTTACAAATAAATATTATACTTCGAATTCAGATTGGCATTTCGACTTTAAATAGTGCATTCAATTCTTTAATTTACTGATCAACAAAACCACGACTCGACTTAATTGTGTGGCAATACTAAATGTAACATTCTCCTTTGAAAACTTCAATATACACGTCAGTCACTCCTTTACCAAAAGAAACAAAAAAGGCGAGTTATTGAATCTTGCTTTTGCTTTCAAAAGTCACAGCCTACTCCAAGAAATGTTTAATTTTTTAATTAAAAATCCAATTAAAAAACGAATTATTGATTCTTGCAGTCTTGCCCCTGCTTCTGAAAGTCAAAGTCTACTCCAAGAATTTCAGTTTATTTGACTCATTTAAAAAAAAACACTGACGGACGTATAAAAGTGTCTAAGTTCTAATGCTATGTAGCAGATGTTATTGAATAAGCATAGTTGTGATACTTGTATAATTTTCTTTATAAAATGCATTAGACTTCAAGTAACTTTGACTTTAGACTGAACTTCTTCTAGAAAATAATAAATGTTATTTTCAATTATTTATTGATTTTTTTTATATAAAAAATCAATGTTGTTTGTAGCTAGACACAAAGCTACACAATGAGCTATCTGTACTGTGCGAAGTACGGGTATCGGAAGTCTGTTTTTAGCGTTATAAGCTTTCAGACTTACCACCGTGCCACTGGGGACTCATAGTTTCACATTTTTAAAGGATATTTTAAGATTCATTCGTCACGAGGTGATATTGCACAATTTATGGGAAAAATTCGGCTTAACTTAAAGGTGTTATCATCTGGGATAACGTAACAAAAATTCGAGTTTGAGTAACTTCTTTGGAAATTTTTGAGAGATCACCAAAGTTTCTAATAGTTTCACCAAAGTTTCACCAGATTCTAATAATTAATGACACAATTAGTCATATCTTATGATATCTAGTAAGTGATTACACAGTTGCTCACTTATTTTTAAAAGGTATCAAAGATAAATGTTTTTTTTTTGTTTTTGAATTTCACGCAAAGCTGCACGAGGGCTATCTGCGCTAGCCGTCCCTAATTTAGCAGTGTAAGACTAGAGGGAAGGCAGCTAGTCATCACCACCCACCGCCAACTCTTGGGCTACTCTTTTACCAACGAACAGTAGGATTGACCGTCACATTATAACGCCCCTACGACTAAAAAGGCGAGCATGCTTGACGGGACGGGGATTCGAACCCGTGACCCTCAGACTGCGAGTCGAACGCCCTAATCACCTGGCCATGCCAGGCCGTACCAAAGACAAAAACACTCAAATATGTACTTACAAGAAGCTTCTTTAAAATACTGCCTGGAGTTTATCATTTCCCTAAACACAGACATGTCCCCCATTACATCGAACCACTAAAATCAATGCATTTAATTTGATTACCATACCCTATAATTCTGATATAATAAAACAGGGATTTTATTAATATTAAACACATTTCTATGGGCATTATTGAAGTTCTGTATCTTAAGTAATGTATGCCATTCCAATAACTCCACAAAATGTCACAATCACCCATCAATGTTTTACAGTTCCACCTATTTATTCTTCGTCTATTTCAATAACCTTTTTTTTATTATTTG